TACCCTCGAATATATCAAATTCGATGCATGGAAGTCACTTCATGACAATAGGGTTTCGATAGGAAAAATTGCAAGAGCCAAATGGGGAAAACGAACCATAAGGCCTAAGGGCCACTCTTACCTCAAGTTCGAGCAAACACTCACTCAGCCATAAGGCCTTTATCTCGAGTTCGAGCAAACACTCACTCGACCGAAAAGCCTAAGGGCCACTCTTACTTCGAGTTCGAGCAAACACTCACTCGACTACTAAGCCTAAGGGCTACTCTTACTTCGAGTTTGAGCTAACACTCACTCGACTACTAAGCCTAAGGGCTACTCTTACTTCGAGTTAGAGCAAACACTCACTCGACTACTAAGCCTACAGGATACATTACTTCGAGTTCGAGCAAACACTCGCTCGACTATTAAGCCTAAAGGCTACTCTTATTTCGAATTCGAGCAGTCACTCACTCGACCATAAGGCCTAAGGGCAACTCTTACTTCAAGTTCGATCAATCACTCACTCGACTATTATGCCTAAGGGATACTCTTACTTCGAGTTCGAGCTAACACTCACTCGACTACTAAGCCTAAGGGCCACTCTTACCCCAAGTTCGAGCAAACACTCACTCGGCCATAAAGCCTACGGGCTACATTACTTCAAGTTCGAGTAAACACTCACTCGACTATTAAGCCTAAGGGCTACTCTTATTTTGAGTTCGAGCTAACACTCATTCAACTACTAAGCCTAAGGGACAATCTTACCCCGAGTTCGAGCAAACACTCACTCGACCATAAAGCCTACGGGCTACATTACTTCGAGTTCGAGCAAACACTCACTTGACTATTAAGCCTAAGGGCTACTCTTATTTTGAGTTTGAGCTAACACTCACTCGACTACTAAGCCTAAGGACTACTCTTACTTAGAGTTCGAGCAATCACTCACTCGACCATAAAGCCTAAGGGTCACTCTCACTTCGAGTTCGAGCAAATNGGAAAAAACCCTAAGTTTCCTGATTATCTCCGGGGGCAGTCTCTTCTCCATCAGGCTCCTCCCCGCTCTCAAACCCACTCTCGCTGTCATCATCATCGTCATAGGAAGCCAAGGCTCCAGCATCGGCTTCAAGTTCTTTAGCCTTTAGTATCTCTTCGGTAAGGTCGAAACCTCGAGCATGGATCTCCTCGAGGGTTTCTCTCCGGGATTGGCATTTGGCGAGTTCAGCAACCCAATGTGCTTGAGTTTGAGCGGTCTTGGCTGAATCTCTCGCTTGTACTTGAACATCTTCAGCATCGTCCCGATAGACGGCCATGATTGCATCCGCATCAGCCTTTTCTTTCTCGGCCTTGGCAAATTCGGAAGCTAACCGAGCTTCGAGCTCCTCTATTTTTCTTTCTTGAGCCGAGCTCTTCTCCTTCATGCCTTGAAGTTGAATTTTGACCGATGATAATTGAGCTCGAGCAGTCTCTTTCTCTGCAGCAAGACGGTCCATACCTTATTTCCATCCCAAGGACTCCACCTTTATCATGTCGACCTCCTCACGAAACTGCTTGATCCTCTTGATCTTCTGCTACAGCTGTGAGATTGAAATATTAGCCACCGTTCCCAAGTCGAGCCCATGAGCTTTTAAAATTTTTATTACCTGCTCGATCAGGTCTGTCTGATCTTGATGAGATTTGGCCAACTCGGCTCGAAGATCTTCGATCTCTTCCTCTTTTTGCCCACTAAGAAGTTTGAGGGAATTTCTCTCCTCCGAAAGCCCTTGGAAGTCGGCCTCATGTCGGCTAAGCTCTGCCCGAGACTTGAAAAACTTCTCTTGATGAAGAGCTAAAGCCTATATGAAAAACAGAAAAAGATAGGCAGAAAATGGAAAAATATGACATCAACAAAGGGAATCGAGACTTACCCGATTCAGGGTTCGTTGAACCTCGAAGAAAAGACCCGACGCTTCAGTCGGGCTGACAGCATCCTCGATATCGGTAAACAAATCACTGAAGGGGTCCTCTCCCTCATGGGCCCCGTCTACCTTGAGAGTCTCCAAAGCTCGGGCTTCCTGAATCGCCCATTCAGAAAAAGCAGGGAGAGTAGGCGAGTATCTGATTACTATTTCCCCAAGCGAGTCGCTTGGGGTGTTCTCCTCAGTTCGAAGAGCTTCAGATATATCAACCGTTTGTTAACTTCGGTGGGAGGCATCCTTGATCTCCAACGACTCGGGGACTTTGCCTGAGTCCTTCTCCGATATCTCCTCAGTTCGAGATGGATCCTCATCAACCGCCATCGACCCAGCTGCCTTTGGGGCATCAATGGTTTTCTTCAGTCGGGCCACCAGTATGGACCCATCATTTTCTTCTTCTTCTTCTTCTTCGTATTCATCCCTTAGACGCCGAACTGATTCTTCAGTCAAAAGGATGGTATTCTTCCTCGGCTTACGAGCCGTCCTTGTCTTAAGTTTTGTATCCTCAGAAGTAGAAGCCCTTTTTCTCTTGTTACCCTTCGCCAGTTTTGGAACCGGGGCCGAAGTCTCTTCCACGCTAGACGGGGGCTTCATAACTGCATATTTGCCCAAGCCTATACACAAGAAAATTGGTTAAGTATAAAAAAAGACATTTTATTCGAATAATCGAAGACATGGGAAAAAGGCTTACCATGAGTTTTAGCCTCCTATCGGCCCTTTGATAAGTCGCGTCACGAGCGCTTGGCATATGTGGAGGTCGAAGCCAGGTCCCATACCCAGTCCTTAAGGTTAGGAACAACATCGGGCATCCAAGCAATAGCTACATCACGGAAAAGGATATCGGTGAGAAAGAAACGAAGGAGCAAAACGATAGGAGCTACGCTTCATGTTCCATTACTCGGGAAATGGAATCTTCTCGGCCGGGATTAGGTCGGAAGTATTCACTCGAACGAACCTGCCCATCCAGCCTCGGTCCTTGTCCTCGTCTATGCTCGAGAACTGCACTTTGTTAGCCCGACGCTGGAGTTTTATTAACCCACCTCGATAGAGGCAGGGCTGTACAATCTGATGAGGTGGTCGAGGGTGAAAGACATCCACTCGACTTTGTTCACGAAGAAGCGGATCAGAATAACGATTCGCCAAAAAGAAGGATGGATTTGGCCCAGAGTTATTTGGTATTGGCGGCAAAAATCGATGACAACTGGGTCGAGGGGGCCCAACGTGAAAGGGTAAGTATAAACACTTAAAAACTCTTTCACATGAGTAGTAATATCTTCTTCAGGAGTTGGGATTATCACTTTTTTGTTCTTCTAGTTGCAATCTTTTCTTAACTGTTCAAGATGTCCCTCGGTTATCGAGCACATGTACCTCGATACTGGCTCGCATCGACCGGGAACCGGAGAAGCTTTGTCGATCTTAAAATTAGAAGCAAGAACACACCTCCCGGGAACACACTCCTCAGGTCGTGGCTCCACCGATGTTTTGTCACTGGAGGGCCGCGAAGAGGAAGCTTTTTCTTTTTGAGGAATGGTTTTTGACGTTTTTGCCATTTGGATTTTGAAGATAGAGGAAGATGACAAGATTTGGTGTTCTGAAGAGGGATTTTGCAGTGAAAATCGCAGATTACAGATGAAGAACTCAGAAGATGCAAAAAAGAACTTAGAAGATTTGGAAATTGAAGATGTAAAAGTAAAAAATGGTAAAAAGAGGAGTTATTTATAGGGTTGGCAATGACGGTTTAAAATCAACAAATGGCCGATCATCGTCTGACACGCATTTATTGCCTTGGTAACTGAACCGACGGGACATCTATCACGTACGTCATGGTCGAACTCGATACAATCGTCAGTGTATATCTAGTCATATCGTTGAAAAATCATGTCGTTTCTCGCCACATTCGACCTTTGTATGATTAGTCAAGATTGGAACATAATAGACCGAAGGTCATCTTCATAATATCGAGGTAAGATCTGAAGCCAGGGTACCGAGCTCAAATTTCTGGGACCGATCGAATACCGAGCTCGAAGTCATTACCGAGCTCGAGTCCAAATCGAACTATGATGTGAAGCGGTATCATCGAGCTTAAGAGCCAGAGACCGACCAATATCGAGCCCGAGTCGATACCGAGCCTCGAGTTAATATATAGCTCTAAATCTGGAAATCGACCAATACAAAATCCGATCAAGATCGAGCCAAGAGACAAGAGCCGTTACGGCCGCACTAAGGGAGAGAATCTCGGCGGGAATTAGGTAAAAGCTAATCTATCATGAGATCCTCACTATGTATTTATAATTATATCTAAAGTAGGATCTCTCCACTATAAGAGGGATGACTACTATTTCTGGAGGGGAATCCAAGATTAAGGCATTCATACATTCTCATATTCAGAGATTACTAATATTCTTAGAGATTATCCTTTTGTGAGATTTATGCATTGATTTATCTTGCTTGTTCATAAATCATTCTCCATTCAATTCGGTTCGTATTTCATTCTTTACAATCAATATTCGACGTATTTCTACTCACCTTTACGATTTGTGTTAAATTATACCACGTACCCTTAGAACTACATATAAATTCAACTCTATCCATTTTTCGGGTAAACAGAACATAAACCGAAAGGAAATAATGTCTTAAAAAACAAGAAGTAATTTATTACGTAATTTCCTTTCAACTCTATCTTACAATTTTAATTGGTTAAGTGTTAATTAATTGACATATTCAAGGGAGATAAAAAGGTAATTTACACAAATACTCTTACGAGTAACACAATTAAATATCTTTATTAAGGGGTGTACAAAAATTTTAAAAGACAAATATATGGACTGAAGTAGTATTATTGTTTAATACGGGTTGCAAAATACTACTTCAGTTATGTTCCTAATTGTTGGACAAAAATATTACTCCATATTTACTGTAGTATTATTCACTTTGACATAATTTTCGACGAAGATACGCTGTTTTAAATATGATATTCACTTTGACAAAACTTCCGCCGACGGCCTAATAAAGGTGGAAAATAGAACGAGAAATCAAGTCCAAGTATCAATAAATTAGAACTTCAGCTGATGACTTGAAACGTGTGATCATCAATTACTCTATCTACCACATAGTACATACTCAATTCACGTTGCAATTTAGTTGGATTGCTCATGGTATAGGTAATATTTTTCGGGCTGACATTACAATTACCTAATCACATGGGTACTAAGTCATTTTAGCACCAATCTAGTTTCTTGTCTATCTTCTTGACTACCTAAAGAATAACAACTACGTTTTTTCTTTTTGCTCCTCTTTCTCCAGTTTAAGGACTTGTTCTATAGAACTTTCTTTTCTCTTCATAAAAGAATCAAGAGACAATTGACTAAAGGGTATACGCATTTTACATGGACTTTCATCAATAGGTCCCTTAACCATCGATTCCATCATTAGTTTCTTCTCAATACCTTCTGCTTGGCATGCCATTATTTCTGAGCAGAGTTCAGTTGCCTTTTCAGGCACACTTGGCTTGTATCTAAGCAGCTTAGCATATTCATTTAAGAGATGAAACATGTAATCATACACATCCTCCATCTTCAAATCTTCTTGAATAAAATTGCTTGCAGTTCTACCAATTTTTTGTGCCTGACAAATGTCAACAGGACAGAATTAATTGAGTATATTATTGATACTACCATTTAGTTGTTGTAAGGGTAATGTTGTTACCTTTTTGTTGTGGCTATTGCCCCAATCAACTGCAAACTTAATGGATCCACACTTGTCATTTTCATTTATGGGCCAGTAGTGGACTAGTGGCATCAAACTTCTCGAGAAGAAATCATAGTAGTGGGGTTTTACTAGCAAAGCAACTGAGTCACAAGCAAGAATATACTTCTCACTAACAGACCATGCAGATCCTTCAATATATATTTTGTATCTGCATGCATTTGTAAGAATATTAAAGCGTGGGTAGCACAAATAAAGAATTAAAGTAAAGTAATCAATTATTATAAGCTAATGCAATTTGAGAGAGGAAACAGGGGAAAACCTTCAATTGGCAGATTGGTATTAATGTTAGTGGTATTATAAATGAATGACAATGAAGTTTGATTGGATTTACCTATGGTGACATTGGTTTCCTAAGTCAGAATTCTTGAATCCTTGCTTTATCTCTTTCTTCCAATCCTGTAAACAGCAGCAAATGTTGTTGGTAAATTTTGAAACCTTCATGAGACCAGAGTTCTCCGTGTGATCTATAGGTCACGAGTTCGAGCCGTGAAATCAGCTTGCATTTAGGTAGGCTGCCTACATTACACCCTATTGGGGTGCAGTCCTTACCCAGACCCTGCGTAAACGCGGGATGTGCACCGGGCTGCTCTTTTCAGGAGACCAGAGTTCATCTTTAGTTCTGATGCCGAAAGGGGTAAATACTATTGACACTAACTATTTACACCAAATTACACTAATTTACTATGATTATATGATAAATTGAGGTGAGAAAATATATTTAATTTACCAAGATTAGGTCTCAAAAGTGACACATGTTATGTTTATTTACATTTGGTGTAAATATCAAGTGCGAAGTAAATGTTTTCGAGGGAAAGAATGGAAGCTCACCTGGACATAAATGCGAGCATTCCACTCCTGATTTTCAGAGACATTGCACTTAACGAGCTCCATTCTCTTCTCAGCGACTTCCGGATTGCCTTTCCAGTAAGCATACGGTTCCCTATCCTGCCATTTCTGCTTCTTACTCCCTTTTTCAAGATCCTTTAACAAGTCTTGCCATGGCTTTATATTGATTTCAGCCCTACCAAATTCATCAAACTAGCAACTTAAATATATATGTAGCTTGCAAAATGTAAAGGCTACATAAAAGTTAAGGGTAAAAAATTTGAATCCTTACCATCCCCAAAAAGACCAATCAGGAAAAACAATATCCAACGTTTCACTATCTCCACAATATCGAAACAAAGGTGGTGGAACTGGTGCATTATCTCCAGTAAAATCACTTGATCTTATGACCGGCCAATCGACACAATCAAACATTAAATCAAGATCAGGAATTTTTCCAGGGTACCTTCGTAACAACTGAAGAATGCCCCATAATGTAAAAACATCTCTAGTTTGAAACCCCTTCTCATATGTTTCTACATAAGCCCGTCCATTCAAAATTACAAGTCTGAAATTGGCAGTCCTGTTGGCCCTTTCGACCATTTCTTTCGTTATTCCTGTTTTCCTCCACGGCTTTAAATCTTCGTGTATCCAATGGAAGTAATGTGGACATCTAGGATTGGCCGATGAAGGTTTGTTGTTAATGATTTTGTAATCTGGTGGGTAGTAATTTACTGGACATGTTCTTGTGAGGTTACTAGATGAACAGTTGAGTGGAAATTCTCGTGTCCTACTTTGCAATACTTTGTTTACCTAGAACACATCGAAAAGAAGAAAAAAATGTTAGCCCCTATTAGGAATGTGATCCAAAATAGAGTTGGAAACATAATCTCTTGGCTACTTTATTTTACAACAAATTCTTTACGAGATATGACATGAAGTGTCCGGAGGGGAGCTTTAGACCAACAATTAAGTTGTGTCTGTTTGACCTATATGTCACAGGTTCGAGTCGTGAAAATCGTCACTAATATTTGCATTATGATAGACTGTCTATATTATATCCTTGGGATGCGATCCTTTCCCGGACCCTGTGTGAACGCGAGATGCCATGTGTACCGAACTGCCCTTATATGACATGAAGTATCCAGTCTACTTCAAAATTACCTGTTTTATATATCTAAGAACAAATAGATTAATGAGTTAGGAGTACTACAATTTTCAGGTTGCTTGGAGTTCTATCAACTCATTTCGGTATAATTAAGTGCTGAAAGTTTTGGAATTTTCTCCACTTACAATTAGAAGACTCCATAAATAGAACATGAATAATTACAGAAATTAAACTTACGGCTGTGGTTGTGTCGAGAATCGTTGTCCACATGTATGAACCTAGTACGAGAAAGAAGACCAATAAAAGAACAGAATGTCTTGCGTAGGGCTTGTTGATGTAATGTGGAAGCCAAAATGAGTCTGTAGATCTTCTGTAATTCCCAACCCTTTGGTATCCAATATCCATGCTTTCTTCTAATACTCAATTTTGCAGATTGTATCCTTCTGTCTACTCAAATTCCCTGATATTAATCAAGATTACAGATTAAACGGAAAAAGATAAATACTTTTCAATACTAAATTGGTCAGATAACATGCATATTCCACCTTAAGAAAAGTTTGTCTCGTGAACTTGCATGGAAATGGCAAGAAAGAAACGTAAAGTTTGTTCCCTTTTATTTATGTTTCTTACAGTAAAAGTTACCTTTGAAATGACAGGTGATTTAATTTGATTAGTTCGACTTATAAAATCTTAATTGAACATTTGGGATTATTGTTCCGAATTTAATACTAACTGAAATTTAGTAATTTGTACATAAAAATATATACTCTATATGAAAAATGTTGAGTTCGATCGAGCCCCTAACTTTTTTTTTTTTTTAAAAGCAGTGAGTATGAAAGGAAAGAAGAAATAGAAAAAGAATGGTTTGTGCACCTGTTTTTTCAGGTTCTGCTTAGTACTGTACAATAATTTATTGCCGGTTCTCCTTTTTTCCCTTTCTTTCTGGTTGCGTATAACAGAGCTCTAATACTTGGAGCCAAGCAATTGAAAGTGGAGAATGAAACGCAAGTAGTTTAATTATCTTGAACTAATCTGGTAATTAGTTTTGTCTATGACAAGTCTAATTGTCCGAGTCAATTGAGTGGGCTCCCTCTTAGACCAGAGATTTCAATGGGCAGTAAACCAACTTTAGCTTGAGTTATGGGGCAGCCCATCGTTCTAGGGAATCATTTTGTCCGGAAAAGCTTAGAAATTGAGAGGAAACTAAACGACTTTGATCACATAAATGTATTTTTAAAAAGATGGAGGTCTTATTTAGATAAGAAAGTTTTTGAAAGAGAAGTTTACCAAAATTAGCAAGTGGTCGGACCATTGCTGTTTTTTTTTTCCTTTCCTTCTTTTGCCATTGCTACAGTAGACAATGCTGGTCAATTAATTAAAAGAATGCTGAGATTATTTTTATTTTTACAAATTTGCAGAAGAATGTCAAATTTAAATCAAATTCGAAGACTCGAAAAACATTCTGATTTTCAGTAGCATTCTTTCACAGGAGTATTTCTCTTTCATCTTGTATGTGTCAAAATCTATCTTTAGAATATTTAAGCCAAGATAGTACTAGGGGAAAAGTTCTCAAGTCGTCGTTTGTTGAAACGGCCCAAGAAGCGGCGAAGTCTGTGGTCGAAGAGTCAACAAGGGCCAAAGTCGAGGTATCAACAAGGGTCGAGGCCGAGGTTGAGTACCTTTGTCTGAGTAATAACGGCTAGTTTCAAGATAGGATATTAAAGAGAATATTCTAGTGGATATTTTCTGCACTTGTACTATTAGGGTTTTTAGGAGCATGTTCTCTATAAATAGAAAACGACACAATGATAGGGGACAAGTGATATTCATTTGTAAAAAACACACTTTGACTTGAGAAAGAGAATCAGATCTTCTTTGCTAAGATACAAACATTACCTTTTTATTGAGATTCTTATCTATACTTTTCCACCAGATCCAAAAATAACTCGAATATTCAAGAGATTGTCTATCATTCATTATTGTCGGAAAGAAGATCCACTTATTCCCCTCTTTCTTGGGTGACTCATTCATTTTATTTACTTAAATGTCATTTATTGCTATTCATTGATATTAAATGCTACATAATTGCTTCTGATTTCTAGAGTATTTATTGTATGCCACCGCTGTTGTTCGACCGTATCTGCGTAACATTTGTTGCTACTTTAAGAACTCCATCTAGGGATATTTTGTTTTGATAACTAATTATATTTTATTTATCAGAGAACAAAAGTATGTACAAGAATAACCAACCCTACAAAAAAATCATACATCATCTTTCCTACTTCTATTCTCATGACTCATGTACCTCTATCATTACATTATATTCAGCAGTGCATATTTCTTCTAGGGGTAGAAGTTCAAATTTCTCAAAGGTTCAGCTAGCTTCTTGTTGTTCATCCCTCGACAATGAATGTCCTGCACCACAAGTCTACAAATAGTATTAATAATCCTCTTCTTTCCTTGAAATATTCTTTGGTTTCTTTCTTGTCAAATATAGTAAGTACAACTTGCCAAGGCCATTCTATGTAGTTCATCTACAACTTTATTCCTATTAGCCCAGTTGATGACCCAGTTCACCTCTTGACACCAACCCCCTACTGGTCTTTGAATGCCTTTCCAATTGAGTATTTTAGTCCATAATTCATTTGAATAGGCACATTGAAAAAATAAGTGTTTAGCATATTCATGTTCTCTTTCACACAAAGGACACTCCAAGCTTAGATTCCTTATCATGCCCCACTTAGCGATCCTATCTTTTGTATATAGCCGACCATGAGCTACTAGAGTAAAATGGAATAACCATTTAGGACAACCAATATTATTACACACCATCTTCCTCCATGGGACTTTCTGAAAATCACCTCTAAGCTTAAGATACAGGTGCTTGATTGAGTAATGCTTCAGTTTCATTAGGTCATCATAGCTGTATCCTGCTTGCGCAAAGGCCTCTTTGGCTTTTAATATTTTCCTCACCACCCAAGATGCTTGTGTAGGGTTCACCTCCCTCATATGTTTTCCTTTGACGTAGTATGTGTGTACCCATTGAATCCATAGCCTATCCTTTTTCTTACATAAGTTCCATAGATGCTTATTTATTGCTGCCTTGTTCCACATGTGTATGTCCATGCTGTTTTTGGTTGACAGACCTTTTCCTAAGATAGAAGTGACTTGTTAGTGGCTTCAGTATCTCCTGTCCATAAATATCTTCTGCAGATGGCTTCAACTTGCTTAATAATTTTCTTAGGAAGGATGAAGATTTGGGCCCAGAAAGTTTGCATTGAAAAAAGTATGCTTTTGATTAGTTGTAGCCTTCCCGCATAGGATAAGAATCTTGTTGTCCATGAGCTTATCTTTCCCACCATTTTATCAATCAACGGTTGACATCGTGTGATTGATATCCTTTTTGTACTCAGGGGAAACCCTAAGTATCTCACTGGTAATTGGCCCCTAAATATCCTCAGAGTATTTATAATTACTCCTCAATATCTCTGTTCACCTCCCAAAAAACACAAAGCTTTTGCCTTTGTTAACTGCAAGTCTAGAAGCTTGGAAAATTTTTTAAAGCATTCATACAGAAGCTTTACTGATCCAGTGTCACCCCTGCAGAACAAGAGAAGATCATCGGCAAAACCTATTTGTGTTATCTTCAATTTATCATACCTAGGATGGTAGTTGAAGTCAGGTATATGCCATAGTATTTTCAAGCTCCTATTCAGGTACTCCACGGCCAAGACAAATAGAAAGGGAGGCATGGGATCCCCTTGTCTTAGCCCATTTTTAGCTTCAAAGGGTTCTATTGGTTTTCCATTTAGTAAGATAGAATAGGATACACTTTGGATGCAACTCATAATCCATCTAACATACTTCTCAGGGAAAGCCAAGCCAATTAGGATCTGCTCTAAGAACACTCATTCAATTGAATCATATGCCTTTTGCATATCTAGTTTCATCATGCATCTTGGTGACAATTCTTTCCTCCCATATCCTTTTATTAATTCATGGCTTAGAATGATGTTGTCTGTTATGACCCTTCCTGGAACAAAAGCAGATTGTGAATTGTCAACTAGATCATCCATAACCACTTGAAGTTTTTTTGTAAGGATTTTTGATATTATCTTGTATAATATGGTACAACATGAGATATGTATGTACTCCTTTATAGATGTAGGGTTTCTAACTTTTGGAATAAGTGTTACTGATGTACAATTGATAGGCTTGAACATCTCAGCTTCGTTGAAGAACTCCAACATTGCTTCTGTCACCTCGTCTCCTACAATGGGCCAGGTTTTCTTGAAAATGAAGGCATTGAAACCATCACACCCAGGTGCCTTCATATCTTCAATATCCTTTAAAATTTGCCACACTTCCTCCCTTGTTACTAGTGAGATCAGTCCCCTCTCTTGTTCAATGTTCAATATAGGCCCTTCCTTTATGATATTTAGGTCAACAATAGGTAATGTTGTAGCTGCTTTCCTTGGTAATCTTTTATAGAACCCAATCACCTCCTGAGTTGTTTTGTCATCAGTTAGTATTTGTTCTCCCTGCTCGGTTGTTAGGCATCTAATACCATTTTGGGAGTATTTATTTTTCATATTTGCAAAAAAGTATGCAGTATTTGAATCACCCAACTCTAACCATTGTACTCTAGAATTTGGCTTGTATATGCTTTACTCAATCTTCCCCAATGTCTCCATCTGTTCTTTTAGATCTTTTTCCTTTTGGATTAGTGCACTATCTAGAAGTTGCCTTCCCATTTTCTCATGTACCTCCTGTAGATTTTCCTTAATCTTTTTGAGTTTGTCATCCACTCCCACAAAATATTTCATGTTGAGTATTTTCAACTCATGTTTTACCCTTTTCAGCTTTAGCCAGACCCTCTTCATATATCTTTCATCAGAATGCTTCTTCCAGGCTTGATCCACTAGAGACATAAACTGTTGATGTTCAGCCAAGCAATTAAAAAATCTAAAAGGCATTGCTCATTTCCGTGCCGCATTAGTGATAGTCACTTTTATAGGTGAATGGTCAGAAAAGTATGGCTCCATTATTATGGCCTGTAGAGATGGCATTGATGTCATCCATTCTGCATTGACAATGGCCCTATCGATTATGGAATATACATGGTTATTAGTCCATGTCTACGCTCTGCCCGTAGTTTGTAACTCAGACATTCCTGTATCTATCATGAATTCCCCGAAATCTTTCATTTCAGATTCCTGCACCTCTGTTCCATGTTGTCTGTCATCTAAGTTGACAGAGTTGAAGTCACCCATGGAAATCCAAGGCCCTTGTTACATTTCCCACAATCCTCTCAGTAGTTCCCATAATCTCCTTCTCTCACGTATGGTGTGTAGGCCATAGACTGCAGTGAAACAGAAACACATATTTCCTGCATATATCCTGACCTTCCCTTGTATATATTGTGCATCCATATCCACCAGATCAAATGTTAATATATGAGGATTCCACAACACCCAAAGTCTACTTTTACTAGTATTACTAGCATTGGATAAGTAGCTCCATCCTGGATCAATAGTATATACCCAATATTATCCCACACCGTGGGGTTTGGGGAGGATAGTGTGTACGCAAACCTTACCCCTACCTTTATTGGCAGTACTCTCCTTTATTCTATGTTCTATTACAACCATAATTCCCAATTTATTTTCCCAAACTCTTTTAACTTCTTTTGCTTGTATGCCTTATTAAAACCCCGTACATTTCATGTAATTATAGTCATTTTGGAATGAGATGGGATTTTGAAGTACCCTCCTGCTCCTTTTCTCCCCATTGTCCCCTATCAGTAGTACTACTAACATTATGCCCAACGTTACTATTGTCATTTAGTGGTTTAAAGCCATTAGTGACATCAATGTTCCTCTCACTTTGTGCATTAGAAGGTTTAACAACAGATTTTCCTCTTACTGCTATCCACCCCTCATGTTGCACTTGCTCATTTGTGCTCTTTGTCTGATTATTTGTTTCTTTTTTGGTCGCTTCATTGATTCTCAATGCTTGAGCAATATCTGGATTGC